ATATGCAATATTAATTATAAGTTGGCATATTGTTGTTTGTTTGAATTTACTCTAACACATCAAGCAACTTGCAGGTTAAGTTTAATTTTAATTTGAAATGATAAAATATAGAGGCAATGTTGCTGCAAGAACACAAAAAATAAAATATTGACAATCATGCAACCTGCTGGATTTAAGTTTATTATTTTAGGTTTTGAACAGGTTAACATTTAGCATGGATGCAAAGTAAGGAATGACAAGAATGGAACAAGGCAAGCGTTTACTTTGAAACTAATGTTGCATTATTGCGAGTACCTTGCAGGTGGTTTTGTCACTCTCGAAGTTCTTCGGAGTTGGGGTGTTTCTACTCGAGTTTCTGCAGTGGGCGTTCCAAGCTGTTGACGAGGAGTTCCCATTCCCTGATTGGGCTGAACAAGTCCATTGCGACTTTCGCTGTGAGCATTGGCTTCTGACATTTCTTGAATGTTGTCCTTATTTGGTCCATATATCTGGTAGTAGTTTGATGACTGTATTGGTCTGTTGTCAAACCTCTTTTTCATGTGGTGAGTTGTTCGTACATAAGTGCCATGATTTGTTTTTATCTCATATGATCTTGGGTTTTCATGGTTTTTCTTTACCACTATGGCTGGTTCCCAGTTTTCACCTGTGTACACCAACACTTTGTCATTGTCTTGAAAGGTAACTATTTTTCTCTTTGCTGTCTTGTTGTATTGTTTCTCTGATCGTTCTTGTCTCTCCACCAGCTTCCTATTAACTCCTTCTTGTACTTTTGGTTTCAGAGTTTCTTCTGTCATTGGAATCTTGCATTTGAGGACTCTGCTGTTGAGGAGTTGAGATGGTGACGCGTTCAACACATCAATTGGAGTGTTTCTATAATTGAGAAGTCCCATTTTGTAGTCTTCATTAGACTCTTTGGACTTGGTTATGATTTGTCTTGCTATTCCAACTGCTTTCTCTGCTTGACCATTTGACTGCGGGTACCTCGGAGAACTAAAGATGTACTTGAAGTTTCCGGTATCAGCAAGTTGTAAACAGACTTGAGAGTTGAACGGGTTGTTGTCTGAGTATATGATGTCAGGAAATCCATACCTGCTGAATAGATCACTCAGAACTTCATTGATGGTTTCTGCTGACTTCGACTTGATCTTAATTATTTCCAGCCATTTTGAGTAACAGTCCATTACTATTAAATAATTTTCACCTTTGCAGTACAAAATGTCTGCTGCTAAGTGCGACCATGGTCTTGTTGGTAGTGTTCTTTTCTCCATTGGCTGCTTGAAGTTTTTTGGCTGATGTTTGCTGCAGGTTTGACATGCTTGGAGAAGGCTGGTAATGTCCTCTTGAATGTTTGGCCAATACACTGACAGCGCCGCTAGTTTGCTAGTTTTGGAGATTCTTTGGTGACCTTCATGAAGCTTCTCGAGCATACCCTTTCTGAGTTTCACAGGTATTATGACTCTCTGGCCATAAAATAACAAGTTGTTATCTAGGTGAATGTCTGAACTTTTTTGCCAATAAGGCTTTATTTTTGCTTCCACTTTGTTGATTGCTTCTGGCCAACCATCCAGTACGATTCTCTTTAGCATTTGTAACTCCTCATCTTGGTTTGATTCTTCTCTTATTTTGTCTTTTAGTGGACCTGATATAGGTGAAAGATTGGTCATTGTGTGGATGACTACGTTCAAGAGGACTTCATCTGATTTTTCTTCTGGCAGTGGATCTCTGCTTAATAAGTCCGCAATATACATCTGCGATCCTGGGATGTATTGTACATTTAGTTTGTACATCAGTAGTTTTATGCGCAGAGATTGTAGTCTTGTCGATCCTATTTCAGGTACATTTTTCTTGAATATAGTCACTAATGGCTTATGGTCTGTGTGGACTGTGACTTCCCTGCCATATATCCAAAAATGAAATTTCCTTGCAGAGAACAGGATTGCAAGCATTTCTTTCTCCACCATGGCATATCCTTGCTCGGTCTTTGTTAAGCATCTTGATGCGAATGAGACTGGTTTCTTGTTTTGCAGGAGACAACTTCCTAAGCCAAAACTTGATGCATCGCACTGGATTACTATGGGTGCATTCTCTTGAAAGTTTGCCAGTATAGGAGCATTTGTGATCATGTCCTTTATTTTCTGAAGTGCTTCTTCATGGCATTCCAACCACATCCATTTGTTTTTCTCTTCCAGTAGTGGTCTCAAAACTTGCATTAGAGTTGCAAGATTTGGTATATATTCTCTCTCATAGTTTATTGATCCCAAAATTTTTTGTAGCTGCTTCTTGTTGAGAGGAGACTTCAGTTTCTGTATTGCTTCAACCCTTGTAGGGTCTACTGTTCTTCCTTCCTTGCTAAAGATGTGACCTACATATTTGACGGAGGTCTTCCTGATCTGTATCTTGCTAGCATTTATCCTGGCATTTACTAATGTAGCTCTTTGTAAAAAATTATACAATGCCTTATCATGCTCTTCTCTGTTTCTTCCTGATACAATAATATCATCAAAAAATATTGTGACACCAGGTATGTCTCCAAAATAGAACTCACATCTTGCCTGAAAGATTTCTGGTGAAGCATTTAATCCAAACGGGAGTCTATTAAATTTATAACACCCAAAAGGTGTGGAAAAGGCACATACTTCACTGGATTGAAGATCAAGCTCACAATGCCAAAACCCATCCTTTAAATCTACTACTGAAAAGAATTCATTGCCTGCTAGTCTTGATTGTATGAATTCCACTGAAGGTATTTGGTAGTAGTTCCTTTTAATGGCTTGATTTAAATCTTTTGGGTCCAGACATACTCTTATGTCTCCGTTGGGCTTCTCTCTTATGAGCATATGGGACACCCATGATCTTGGTTGCTCGACTGGAGAGACTACTTCTTGTACCGATATTTTGTTTATGTACTTCTTGACCTTTTCTTCAATTATGAGTGGTACTCTTCTGGGCGGATGTCTAGTGGGTTCTACATCCTTATCTACTAATAAAGTTACCTTGTCAGGAAACTTCCCTGTGCCCACAAACAACTGCTTGTTGCTCCTGATGAGGTGTCGGGCTGTCTCATCAGTGATGCACTCCAGTGTCTTTTCTAGATCTTCACAATGAGGGGTTTTCTTTGTCTGCACGCTTAGACACACTGGAGTACTTGCGTGAACCCTCTTGATTAGGCCCAGTCTCAGTGAAGTGGTTCGACTAAGAACTGGTACCTCTTCTGTGCCAATGATGACGAAGTCCAGTGTGGTTTTGGTGCCTCTGCAAGCACTGGGCAACTGCACTTTACCCAACACAGGAACTTCCACTTCTCCATAGGCCAGGGTACGTGGTGCTGGTTTGATGATACAGTCATCAGGGATGATTGATAGGTGCTGAATTGGTAATGTGTCAACATCAGAACCTGTGTCAATTTTGAATTTGATTATCTTGTTACACACTTCAATTGGCTCAATCCAGATTGACGGATCTTCATCAGGCACACTTCTTAGCATTTTGATATGAACGGTATTGTCCTCATCTGAATTTTTCCTCTGAGTTAAAGTGTTGATGTAGTAGTAAGGATCTTTCTTAAACTGACTTCCAGACATAGATCCATGGGGTTGTTTTGATTCCTGTTGCACTGTGATACTGTCTACTTTTCTTAATAGGCAACATTGGGTGAAATGATTGCGTCTGCCACAGTTGTTGCATGTTGCTCCCTCTGCTGGGCATTCACCAAATTCATGTCTGGTTTGACATCTTCGACATGGTTTCTTTCTAAATGAATCTGGTGCTGGTGAGGAGGCTCTTCTGTGAGGGGATTTAGACCCTGATTTCTTGTATGGTGATATTGACGCTGATCTTCGATACTTGTCTCTTGATGATCTTCGATGACTATAGCCTCTTGATGATTTTTCATAGCCGTCTCTTGATGATCTTCGATGATGAGGAGATTTTGATTGATACCTTGATGGAGATTTTGATTGATACCTTGATGGAGATTTTGAATATTTCTTTGGAGACTTTGATGATCCTTCATAATAATTTTCATAGTAGTGTCTTCTTGGTGATTTCGATCTTGATTTATAGTTGTTTTGATAGTGTTGGTTATATCTTGATAGATGATGGATTTTTCCATTCATTGATGATGTTGCTTGAGTTAGAGTTTCATGTTCTTTAACTAATTTCACTATATCACTTGCGTCTTTTCCTTTTGATGCTTGTTTAAAGAGATGTTGCTGGAGGCCTGGATCAGTGACTGATTCTACGATATTGTCAATAATCATTAACTCTTCCATGCCGTTTACAAACTCACATTCAGTGGCCCTTTGTCTTAGATGTACTACATAATCATCAATGTTTTCGCCGTCCATGCGCCTCCTACTTCTGAACATCAATCTGTTATGAATTGGATAGCTGGTTGGTTTTACAACCTTGTCTATTGCTTCAATTAGCTTTTTATATGACAACTTATCTGCGTCAGTTACTTTCCAATTTTTGAAATGGTTCCTTGCTTCCCTTCCTATGAATGTTAAGAGGACACCTGCTGCTGCTTTGTCATCCTCCACCTTATTAGCTTGAAGATATATTTCTATGTCATCCTTAAATGCTGCCCAGGATTCTTCTAGCTTTCCTCCCAATGATAGGGATTGTGGTGGTGGTACTAGTGCCATTATACCTTGAGATTTTCTTGATTAGTGGTTGATAAGATGGCCTTGACCTTGGGGTGATGATGACCTTGAGGCTTGAGGATGGATGGATTTGCAGATGAACTTGGCTTTCTCTCTTCTTAATTACTTTTTCCCTTCTCTAACACCTACTGACTGCGCCATGTAGTAGGGTCGTATTGTCAGAGAAGGTAGATGGGTTTGATATAACTTATTTATTAGCTAATGGTACAGATAACTGGTTGAGCTACAGACTGTCTGAGAGTTCCACGATGACTGACTAGCGTGGGGTATCGGCAGATACGAGGAAAACTGCTGTTGCCGCTAGGTGGCGTTGGTTGCAGGGAATGGCTGGCGGCTACCAACTCATGAATACAACATCTTCCCCTTTCCTCCTTTTCTCTGATGCTGATAATAAAAATTTAAATTATAAAAATTAGTGCACAAATCACCTATTGATTTTATATAAACATTGCATCTCCCCCTTTTAAAATTGAAATAATTGTATTTTTATTATTACATTGTGGCAAAACAGCAGAAGCTGTTGTTTACATTTTGCTGAGGGCCAACAAGTAAATATGCAATTACAATAAACAGAAAGAAGTGCATTGAATTAAAAACTGTGGGGATTGCTGGGCTAATGCAATATGGTAAAAGCTACAGTTAAGCTGTAAAATATGCAATATTAATTATAAGTTGGCATATTGTTGTTTGTTTGAATTTACTCTAACACATCAAGCAACTTGCAGGTTAAGTTTAATTTTAATTTGGAATGATAAAATATAGAGGCAATGTTGCTGCAAGAAAACAAAAAAATAAAATATTGACAATCATGCAACCTGCTGGATTTAAGTTTATTATTTTAGGTTTTGAACAGGTTAACCTTTAGCATGGATGCAAAGTAAGGAATGACAAGAATGGAACAAGGCAAGCGTTTACTTTGAAACTAATGTTGCATTATTGCGAGTACCTTGCAGGTGGTTTTGTCACTCTCGAAGTTCTTCGGAGTTGGGGTGTTTCTACTCGAGTTTCTGCAGTGGACGTTCCAAGCTGTTGACGAGGAGTTCCCATTCCCTGATTGGGCTGAACAAGTCCATTGCGACTTTCGCTGTGAGCATTGGCTTCTGACATTTCTTGAATGTTGTCCTTATTTGGTCCATATATCTGGTAGTAGTTTGATGACTGTATTGGTCTGTTGTCAAACCTCTTTTTCATGTGGTGAGTTGTTCGTACATAAGTGCCATGATTTGTTTTTATCTCATATGATCTTGGGTTTTCATGGTTTTTCTTTACCACTATGGCTGGTTCCCAGTTTTCACCTGTGTACACCAACACTTTGTCATTGTCTTGAAAGGTAACTATTTTTCTCTTTGCTGTCTTGTTGTATTGTTTCTCTGATCGTTCTTGTCTCTCCACCAGCTTCCTATTAACTCCTTCTTGTACTTTTGGTTTCAGAGTTTCTTCTGTCATTGGAATCTTGCATTTGAGGACTCTGCTGTTGAGGAGTTGAGATGGTGACGCGTTCAACACATCAATTGGAGTGTTTCTATAATTGAGAAGTCCCATTTTGTAGTCTTCATTAGACTCTTTGGACTTGGTTATGATTTGTCTTGCTATTCCAACTGCTTTCTCTGCTTGACCATTTGACTGCGGGTACCTCGGAGAACTAAAGATGTACTTGAAGTTTCCGGTATCAGCAAGTTGTAAACAGACTTGAGAGTTGAACGGGTTGTTGTCTGAGTATATGATGTCAGGAAATCCATACCTGCTGAATAGATCACTCAGAACTTCATTGATGGTTTCTGCTGACTTCGACTTGATCTTAATTATTTCCAGCCATTTTGAGTAACAGTCCATTACTATTAAATAATTTTCACCTTTGCAGTACAAAATGTCTGCTGCTAAGTGCGACCATGGTCTTGTTGGTAGTGTTCTTTTCTCCATTGGCTGCTTGAAGTTTTTTGGCTGATGTTTGCTGCAGGTTTGACATGCTTGGAGAAGGCTGGTAATGTCCTCTTGAATGTTCGGCCAACACACTGACAGCGCCGCTAGTTTGCTAGTTTTGGAGATTCTTTGGTGACCTTCATGAAGCTTCTCGAGCATACCCTTTCTGAGTTTCACAGGTATTATGACTCTCTGGCCATAAAATAACAAGTTGTTATCTAGGTGAATGTCTGAACTTTTTTGCCAATAAGGCTTTATTTTTGCTTCCACTTTGTTGATTGCTTCTGGCCAACCATCCAGTACGATTCTCTTTAGCATTTGTAACTCCTCATCTTGGTTCGATTCTTCTCTTATTTTGTCTTTTAGTGGACCTGATATAGGTGAAAGATTGGTCATTGTGTGGATGACTACGTTCAAGAGGACTTCATCTGATTTTTCTTCTGGCAGTGGATCTCTGCTTAATAAGTCCGCAATATACATCTGCGATCCTGGGATGTATTGTACATTTAGTTTGTACATCAGTAGTTTTATGCGCAGAGATTGTAGTCTTGTCGATCCTATTTCAGGTACATTTTTCTTGAATATAGTCACTAATGGCTTATGGTCTGTGTGGACTGTGACTTCCCTGCCATATATCCAAAAATGAAATTTCCTTGCAGAGAACAGGATTGCAAGCATTTCTTTCTCTACCATGGCATATCCTTGCTCGGTCTTTGTTAAGCATCTTGATGCGAATGAGACTGGTTTCTTGTTTTGCAGGAGACAACTTCCTAAGCCAAAACTTGATGCATCGCACTGGATTACTATGGGTGCATTCTCTTGAAAGTTTGCCAGTATAGGAGCATTTGTGATCATGTCCTTTATTTTCTGAAGTGCTTCTTCATGGCATTCCAACCACATCCATTTGTTTTTCTCTTCCAGTAGTGGTCTCAAAACTTGCATTAGAGTTGCAAGATTTGGTATATATTCTCTCTCATAGTTTATTGATCCCAAAATTTTTTGTAGCTGCTTCTTGTTGAGAGGAGACTTCAGTTTCTGTATTGCTTCAACCCTTGTAGGGTCTACTGTTCTTCCTTCCTTGCTAAAGATGTGACCTACATATTTGACGGAGGTCTTCCTGATCTGTATCTTGCTAGCATTTATCCTGGCATTTACTAATGTAGCTCTTTGTAAAAAATTATACAATGCCTTATCATGCTCTTCTCTGTTTCTTCCTGATACAATAATATCATCAAAAAATATTGTGACACCAGGTATGTCTCCAAAATAGAACTCACATCTTGCCTGAAAGATTTCTGGTGAAGCATTTAATCCAAACGGGAGTCTATTAAATTTATAACACCCAAAAGGTGTGGAAAAGGCACATACTTCACTGGATTGAAGATCAAGCTCACAATGCCAAAACCCATCCTTTAAATCTACTACTGAAAAGAATTCATTGCCTGCTAGTCTTGATTGTATGAATTCCACTGAAGGTATTTGGTAGTAGTTCCTTTTAATGGCTTGATTTAAATCTTTTGGGTCCAGACATACTCTTATGTCTCCGTTGGGCTTCTCTCTTATGAGCATATGGGACACCCATGATCTTGGTTGCTCGACTGGAGAGACTACTTCTTGTACCGATATTTTGTTTATGTACTTCTTGACCTTTTCTTCAATTATGAGTGGTACTCTTCTGGGCGGATGTCTAGTGGGTTCTACATCCTTATCTACTAATAAAGTTACCTTGTCAGGAAACTTCCCTGTGCCCACAAACAACTGCTTGTTGCTCCTGATGAGGTGTCGGGCTGTCTCATCAGTGATGCACTCCAGTGTCTTTTCTAGATCTTCACAATGAGGGGTTTTCTTTGTCTGCACGCTTAGACACACTGGAGTACTTGCGTGAACCCTCTTGATTAGGCCCAGTCTCAGTGAAGTGGTTCGACTAAGAACTGGTACCTCTTCTGTGCCAATGATGACGAAGTCCAGTGTGGTTTTGGTGCCTCTGCAAGCACTGGGCAACTGCACTTTACCCAACACAGGAACTTCCACTTCTCCATAGGCCAGGGTACGTGGTGCTGGTTTGATGATACAGTCATCAGGGATGATTGATAGGTGCTGAATTGGTAATGTGTCAACATCAGAACCTGTGTCAATTTTGAAGTTGATTATCTTGTTACACACTTCAATTGGCTCAATCCAGATTGACGGATCTTCATCAGGCACACTTCTTAGCATTTTGATATGAACGGTATTGTCCTCATCTGAATTTTTCCTCTGAGTTAAAGTGTTGATGTAGTAGTAAGGATCTTTCTTAAACTGACTTCCAGACATAGATCCATGGGGTTGTTTTGATTCCTGTTGCACTGTGATACTGTCTACTTTTCTTAATAGGCAACATTGGGTGAAATGATTGCGTCTGCCACAGTTGTTGCATGTTGCTCCCTCTGCTGGGCATTCACCAAATTCATGTCTGGTTTGACATCTTCGACATGGTTTCTTTCTAAATGAATCTGGTGCTGGTGAGGAGGCTCTTCTGTGAGGGGATTTAGACCCTGATTTCTTGTATGGTGATATTGACGCTGATCTTCGATACTTGTCTCTTGATGATCTTCGATGACTATAGCCTCTTGATGATTTTTCATAGCCGTCTCTTGATGATCTTCGATGATGAGGAGATTTTGATTGATACCTTGATGGAGATTTTGATTGATACCTTGATGGAGATTTTGAATATTTCTTTGGAGACTTTGATGATCCTTCATAATAATTTTCATAGTAGTGTCTTCTTGGTGATTTCGATCTTGATTTATAGTTGTTTTGATAGTGTTGGTTATATCTTGATAGATGATGGATTTTTCCATTCATTGATGATGTTGCTTGAGTTAGAGTTTCATGTTCTTTAACTAATTTCACTATATCACTTGCGTCTTTTCCTTTTGATGCTTGTTTAAAGAGATGTTGCTGGAGGCCTGGATCAGTGACTGATTCTACGATATTGTCAATAATCATTAACTCTTCCATGCCGTTTACAAACTCACATTCAGTGGCCCTTTGTCTTAGATGTACTACATAATCATCAA